TTAGTGCCTATGACTATTGCTAACTCTGGCTACTTCTCTGCACACTTGACTTTCTCTCTTACTGAGAACACATGTCTCTTTCACTCCCTTTTCTTAATATCTCTTCTGTGTCTCCCCCTCCTCATATAATTCAAAATGACTGGGGTCAGATACCAAAGATTGGGATAATTAGACACTGGGTGGGTCAGGAGTTAGAGGGAGTATTTGGTGAGAATGGCTAATAGAAGACAGGTTGAGAGTTATGCCAGGCATTATTAATTGATAGCACAGATAGCTGTTCTACAGTTTGTTGTCCTTGTCTTATTCGATATTTTCACCAAAGTATGGATAAGGGAAAATAAGGGAGAATGTTTTATAGTAATAAAAAAATCCCATCCAAATAGAAAATGCAACATATATAAATCTTTATGTACCAAATGACATAGAAGCAACATGCATAGGCAGAAACTTTTAGAAAAACAAAGAAAATCTGATGAAAACAAGACTTTGGAAGACTTTAACAAACATCTCAGATTTGACACATTAGCCAGGCAAAACACTCAGGATATAAAGAATTTAAAACCATCAAAACAGTAAGCTTAAGAAATGAATATAGAATTGCATGCCTTACAAATAGAATTTGTATTTTTCTGACAGAATTTATTAAAAAATTGATTAATTGTTTTTAGCTACAGAAGAAAAGTCAATAGATTTCAAAGTGTAAATACCTTACCAGAATATTCTCTGACTATGAAACTAGAAACCAATAGTTTGTACATTTAAAAAAACACTCTTCTAAATAATTCTTGAATAAATTAAATTATAAAAACCATACATTACTTAGTGTACATTCTGAGTGTAAGCCAAATTTGCAATATCAAAACTGGGGAGGCCATTGAGCACACTGGATGGCCAGTTGGGATCCACTTATATAATGACAAGCTGTAAAAATGGACAGACACTAGTGAACATGAAATCTAACAGAAATGCATTTGAGACCATCCTCCATGTCCAGAAAGCTAACAGCAGGAGCACACGTGGAGGAGATATGATACAGCATCACCATCTGTAAAACAAAAACAGTCACATGGGTGTAAGATTTAGAGGTTTTAGTTGACAAATTGGTTAAGCATTCATCAGCTTTGACATGCTACCAAGAAAAGTCAATTTGATTTTAGGCTGCATGGGTAGATAATGTGCCATCTAGAACAAGAGAGACAATTGCCAGCTCTAATCAGACTCATGCACTGGACATTCAGTGTGGGTTCCATGGCTCAGCAAAGATGATTAGAGCCCATTCAGAGAAGAGCAAAGGCAATGATATAGAGACTTAAAAAAAAAAAAAAAATCTGAGACACAGTTGGAGGAAGTAGTAAGTTTAGCCTGAACCCAAGGCAGCTCCTTGAAGTCTTGATGCTATTCTCAAACATATGAAGCACTGTTATGCAGAAGAGGGGTAAGGTCATGAGAAGGCAGATTTCTATGATCCAGAATATTCCAAAGATGAAAGGAGTGCATGAAGAGATAGCAAGTTCCCTATTGCTGGAGGTGTTCTTACCAAATTGGGTGAATACTTGATTGTGGCAAGGATTTTAACACTGGAAAAGAGAGGTGGTTGGACCTTGCAAAACTCCCAACCCTGAAATTATTCAATTCCCCTAGAATATGGTATTCCCTCAATATGGCCCCTGAACTTCTGAGTCTGGTACCCCAAATTGCTAATTAAGCAGAGTCCAACATTAACATTTTTCACACATGAAGGTTTGAGAGTACATGACTGATAGAGATAGTCTGAACCCAAGTGAAACCTGAAGAATTTGGGAATACTGAAAATTAAACATCTGGTAATCAAATGAAGACACTCAACAGGAGTTCAAACAAGGGTTTGGCAAGGGTCAGAAGGATGGGAGCAATCCTCCTGGAGAAGACTACAAAGTCTGTGCTGGTATGCATTAGGCAACATGAGTGGTTTTAGAAATTGTGGTACAAAGATTATCTATGATATATATAAATAAGCAAACATGATGGTTCTCTCTCCTTTGATGGCAGGATGTGGCGTGCCTGGTTGGAACACTGCATGCCAGGTGTGCAGATCCTTTCAGAGTGTCTCTAACCACTGCTGCTTTCACAGCCCCTGCGGAGCTCCCTGCTGACACAGGCTTGTGCTCTGCAGTTCCAGCTCACACGCAACCTGCGTCTCTAGTGCATTGCTCTGACACGAGCTTTTATTGACCGAGCTTTTTCTTCATTTTCTGATTGCCCCTGAGCCTTTCCAAACCCAGCAACCCTGTTATCCTTGAAACTAAGACCTTCTTCCTCTCAGAGAGCACTGTTCCCTTGCCCTCCTCAGCTCATGATAATAATCACAAGAATAAATAACCCTGTAAGTTTATTTAGGACGCAGTGTTTCTGACCACTGCACATCCACTTTACTGTTTATCCTGACAATGTCAGGAGGAATGTAGGGCAGGTGCTACCTTCGATGGCAAGAGGTCAGAGCACTAGCCCAAGGTCACGTGGAGGAAATGAGCCAGTTCTAAAATCAGAGATTAGGATCCAGGACTTGTGACTGACCCCTGAGTTGGCTCAGTGACGCAATTGGTGGGAGTAGCACCTTCATGTTCCATGTTCCTGGGACTGACATGTTCTAACTCAGGCTTGTCATGATGTCATTAAAGCCTGCAGAGTTTCCCAGGAGACTGGTATTTCCAAAGGCTTGGTTCCACATTTGAGTCTGGCTGAGCCCAGGATCACCAATGCCCACATAGAATCCCAGGGTTCCTTGGCTGTAGAGAGGCTTTTTGAGCAAGGGCTGGCAGTAGACACCATTTAGAGACTCTATCTGCTTTCCCTCCATTTGTTTATAATGGTTTGTAAAATAATTTAATTCATGACAAGCAAACTGGCATGTGAACGTGAAAATCAGAGAGAGTGTCAATTTAATCAAGTGAACCTTCAAGCAAAATTAATAGAAGACTTTTAATGATATCATAGAATTAATGTCCTGCATGGTTATTAGGCATAAATGGTAAACAGTTTACATGAATGTCTGTAATTAGCATTGCTTTAGCAGAGCCAAATCAATTTTTAAGTTGCTCTCATCTCACCTTATTAGTTCTCCAATATTTATATAGTTGAAATCACTAGCTAAAATTTTCCTTAATACCCTTTGCTACCTAGCATCTGAATTTCTTCAAACATGGAAGATAGTTCCGGGGACCAAAAGAAAACCATCTTGCTTTTCAAAAGTTTCTTCCAACTGTATCTGTTTCTGACTCTAACATGTTTCTATTCAATAGATTGGCTTTTTCTTCTTACTTTCCCTCCAGGATTTCCTTTTTAATTGTCATGGGTTAGCTGAAGCAAATGTAACAATCTTGAACACCTGTCATTTATCAAGAAGAGGTGTCTTACTCTTAGCCAAAAGATACTTGTTACATCAAGAATAACAAACACATTCATAAAGACAGGGTCTCAGTTCATGGAGGTCTTGGAGGACGTCCATCTTTGCTGAGCATACCCAAAGGCCATTGAGGTACAACTTCTGAATGTTAAGTCTCTAGTTTTGAGGGTACAGCCAAGAATGGCTACTCAGAGGTTGGTGCTCTATTTTGAATGAACTTGACTATAGAGACTCACACCAAGTTTTCTGAAGAGCTGGAAGAATGCCAGTCAAAATGGCACCATGTTCATTTCTGAGTCTGAGCATGTGGTGCAAATGTGCCCCCTACTGGCAATAAGAGAAGAAGGGGCAGAATTGGTCTGTGATAAAGCCTAGAACACTGGGAAGGTCTAGCTCTGGATTAAAGTCCCAAGTGGACAGCCATCATTTTTTGTTCAGAAATCTTCCCAGTACTTCTTAGAACTGAGAACTAGGGCCATTTTCTCAATTATTGAAATCTCTTGGATTGGGGCAGAGTGGGCTTGCCATCATTAGCATTTATAATGGCAGATGATAAACTTTGGGATGTGTCTGTGCATGTGTGTTACACATTCAAAATAGGCCTTAAGAGCTATGACGTCAGCCTGTTCATGGAACCAGGAGTTCTCTTGATAGGAGGGGAGAGGTCAGGGAGTAGAGGCCCAAGAGAGGTGTATTCACTTCCTTGTCAGAGAAAAGGTATAAAAATGTAAGTACTTGGATTTTTTGATGCTTCTTATTATAACTTCTAGTTTCAGGCCAAATGGTGATGTTGGGTCCTTCCTGTTTTAATTTGTAAGAGCATTAGAAGGAGAGCCTATTGTTAGGAGAGAAAGGGGAACCAAAAAAAATCATCCCAGAGGAAGATCTGCAAACCTCATCCCCACAGCTTTGTCTTTTTCTGTAGAAGCAGAGTTCCCAGGCGCTCACTTTCTGTCCTGGGGGCTCTTCAGAGCAGGGAGAGGATGGCAAGAGTGAAAGTAGGCACGAGGACATGGCATTATCATCACCAGCCTTTAATCCATTATCATACAAGAATTATGGATCTCACAAACTTACACACACAATTTCAGGGAGAGTCTTCTGACAGAGCAGTGTCAGATAGTGCTGATGTAGACAGGTAGAGAAATCATCCAAACTGGAAATGAGGTAAACCAAGACACTGAACAGGAGAGAAACCCACACAATGTAACTTCATACTGTCCCCAAGTACAGGGATCAGCAGAAGGAGCAATGGTGAGTTTGGCAAAGGCTGGGGCCTTGAAATAAAGCAGAATACAGGGAAGATTGGTCCAAGGAAGCTTCACTGAGAAGCATCTGGATCAGCTGAGAGTGGTGCCTGGGAGATGCAAGGAGGAGAGGTCCCATGACATCTACCAGCAGTCAGAGTAGGTCCAGCTGGGCCTTGGTGGTCTGCATACCTTTTAGGTCAGCTGATCCCAAGGGACTGATCCTGCAGCCATGGCTGACTTGATCTGTCAGTCACCCCCACCACCCACAGCTCCAGAAGGAGCTAGTGTCTGAGCTCTTGGAATTATCACTGTGGGATAGGGGATCTCAGAGCAGACCCCATCATACTCTCCTTTTGCCACCTCTGTAGGAAAATCGCTGCTTATGATGAAGAGATCCAGCATCTCTATGAGGAGATGGAACAACAAATCAAAAGCGAGAGGGAGCAGTTTCTCCTGAAAGTGAGTGTCCACTCCCTGGGCTTAGCCAAGTTGACATATTCACCACCCCTGAATGTAAGATTGCAATACTCCTGTTGGTAATGCTACTTTCTCTGTTTTATTTTTCCCCAAAGCATTTGTCACCTTTGAACATGACATATAATGTAGTTGTTTATTTTTATTGATTGTTGTCTATCTCCCTCACATGTAAACTCCACAGAGCAGGAAGCTTTTATCTTTTACTTACTAATGTCTCCTCATTTCTTAGGTGATGCTTAGAACATAGTAGGTACTCAACAAATATTTGTTGAGTCAATGAATGAATGGGCTGGTGGATGGATGGATGGATGGATGGATGGATGGATGGATGGGTGGGTGGGTGAAGGGATGGATGACAGGGCAAACTTTAGCAGCTGAAGTAGCCTGGAGATTGGGTTTGACATTGGCTGGCCCCAAACCTATGTAGCAGACTCACTCAAATACACCAGTCCATTTTACTCCATGCCCCAACAGGACAACCTTTGGAAATTAGACTGCTCATTCTTTTCCCTTAGACACCTAGAAAATGTAATAGTCAAGGAAAAAAACCTCAGATACCATGGGAGAAAATGTGAAGCTCACATCCCTTGTTCCTAGTCTGACACATACTTGGATCTTACCAAGTCCTGCTGTTTATCTTGGGAGGTCAAGACTGGTGAAGCTTTCCCTTACCAAGCTCAGCAAGGTCTTTTTTGGAATATGTTCATTAAAAAAAAAGAAAAGAAAAGCTGAGGGCTGGGGATGCAGCTCAGTGCTAGAGTGCTAGCCTAGCACGCACAAGGCCCTGGGTTTGATCCACCGCACTGAAAAAGAAAAGAAAAAGAAAAGCTGTGGAATAACAGCCTCCACTGCTTCTCAGCACTGAGCCTGGGCTGTTGTCCCAACCCCTTCCCTTGGACCAATTTCTAATTTTATGCTGCTTCAAATTATCCACACCATTACTCCACTTATTATCACAGATGTCATTCAAACTGAGAGAAATTGGAATGCTTCTCAGAAAAATCCAGCCATGTTCTCCAACCATAGCCCCTGGAGGCTTGTCAATGTGTTGGACCACCCTGATTTTCTTTTAGAGCTTGGAAACCTCTGGCTGTCCCCAGTTGTTGAATGTGCGTAAGCACTGCTCACACCCTTCCATCAGCAAATCTAAAATAGTCTCTGCAACAGCAACTTCCCCTGGCCCCTGTGATAGAAGAGCCAACTCTTCATCCCAAATGACATGAGATATAGAGGGGACAAGCTCTGCAGGCATTTTGCCCCCTCTACCTGGTCCATGCCTACAGGCTGAACGCATATTTCAGAAGCTAATGGTGGGCCTTGGCGAGGAGGTTGGGAGTGGACAGAGGTCAGAGGAAAAATTCAGGAACAAATTAGGACCATTTAGGATCTGGCTTATGATACCATGCCCCTTAGCTGTCCCCTTCTCTCTTCTTGAATCCGAATACCCAGAAACCTCAATTCCCATGAACATGGGAACTCTTATGATGTCTTTGGTAGTGCTATTAAGCATTTAGATACATGAACTTCTGCCAGGCCATAGAGTGAGGATAGTGATATCACAGTTTATGACATTGTGGACAACCCTTAACCAGGTTTGGATCCTGGCTCTACACTTTCCATTGGGTTTAGTCAGAATGAAAGTTAGTTTTTGATCACTTGTACCTCCAACTCCAGACTGAGAGTAGCATGAGCATTTTTGTTTTTACTCCGTGAGCAGAGAAACGATGATCCAGAAGAATGATACAATTTAATCGGGAGATTCAAGGGCTAAAGCCAAGTCTCTTGAGGTCCCACTCAGGGCCCTTCCACTAGACCTGACTCTGTTGAGAGTGTCAGGCATCCCCACACACTTTCCTCTCTATCCCATAGCCAGCTCCCTTTACACCTGAATCATTAGGGCCTCAGCATCTCTGAGTGGGGAAGTCCAATCTAAGGCTGGAGGGGAGGGGGTTGCTGAGCTCAGAGGCAGAGATATCACAAGCAGCAGGGCCTGGGAGACTCACAATGGAAAATAGTGAGGACTCAGACTCTCAAGAAGAAGTGTTTAGAGAGTGAGGATAAGGTAAAGTGACCCAATGGCAGTGCCCCATGTGGAAAAGAATCTCCAAATTGGAAGGGATTTTTGAGACCATCTACCTCCCCCTTCTACCCACAATTTACAGATGAGGAAAGAGAGACCCAATATTTCAGTGAGGACCCTATTCTTCCTGTCCAGTATTCCACCACTAATTGATACTGGGTCAATTTGGGGGGGGGGTAGAGGAAAAGTGGTGGTGCATGGGTGTGGGACATGGTCACACTTGGTGATACTTCACATAGTGCATCACTGAGCTCTTGTGCTTTCTCTGTCTCATGATTCCTTACTGATAGGGCAGGCAGGTCACCAAAGCCCTGGAATGTGGTGGAAGGGCCTCAAAGTACAAAGGGGCAGGTGGCCTGTCCTGCTGAAGAGTAGTTTCAAGTAGAAGGACAAGTATACAACCCAGGTGCACTGTGTGCCCCGTGCATCCCCTCTACCTTATTTGGCAGGACACGGAGAGGTTCCAGGCCCGCAGTCAGGAGCTGGAAAAGAAGCTAATTGCTAAGGAGCAGGAGCTGGAGAGACTCAACCAGAAGCAGAAAAGGGTATGTTTTGCCAGTGTCCTCAGAGTATCAGGATCTTTCTTCCACCCTTGTCTCTGGCTCTAGCTTGCTTTCCCTGCCATTCACTTATGAACTTTTAAATTTAATCCAAGAAGAACCATATGAATGTACAAGGTAGCATTAAAAGTCCCAGGGAAAGCCTTGCTGATCCCAGGTAAAGCCTTTACTTCTCCAATTCCAGGTGTTTAATTTGAAAATATCACTAAGAATTCCAAGAGGAAACTACAGACATTTTCATGTAGTCATGCCCAGGGGCCACGAGAATGCCAAAACTTGAACTTATTTGGAATTTGCTCCCCTCCAGGATGCCTATGGACATCTCTGGCTTGAAAAGGCTCTTCAAAGTTTAGTGTGTCCCTTCCCTGCCTGCCCACACACCTGGGCAAAGTTCTTTAGGCTCCATAGCCCCCATCACCCTGCAGGATGGATGCAGGCACAGACACTCCTCTCTGACTGCCTGACCCTCCAGGAGGCAGACTAGATGGTGTGCTATTCAGGACAGTGTCATTATGGCTGGGGACACCTGGCTCACAGCCCCAGGAAGACTGATTGCCTAGGAGAGCCTCAGGCTCAGTGGCCTGCTTTCCAAAGTAAGGGCTTATGGGGGAGAGAGGCTAGGATGCCTCTGGCCTCCTGTTCATTTTGCCTGGTTCTGGAAGGAATCCAGCCCTGGAAAGACCCAGACAATTTGCTTCCCTGCAAATAGAGCTATTTTTAGCGATACATTAAAATAAGCTTAAAGCCACCCCTGCTAAGGCTGGGGACTGTGGCTGCTGCCCAGCTTTGAACTTGGGTTTCGTTCTTTCTGCAGCCAGGTGATGTTCACTCCAGGAACTGCTAGTCCCCTTGCTAGTCCCCGTCCACAGCAGCACCTTGCTTCTCCTACTCTTCTGCCTCCCCCACCACAACACATTACATCTTAGCAATTAGATTTATTCCTCAAATGAATGATTGCCACTCAATTTAATTACTGCATGCTTGCCTGATTACACAGGAGCCTCTTCAGTGTTGCACAAAATTCCTTGTTGTTGCTTCCTCCTCCCTTTACTGGCCACATTCATTAAACGGGATTTATTGATATATTCGCCTTGGTTGGCCAGTTCCTCTGGTGAGAGGGTTGGAAGTCCTGCAAAGCATCATTCCTAGCTGAGCGAAGCCAAAGTTATCAAAATACAGGGTTTTTATTTGCTTTAGGGACATGAGAAAATGTGGGGTCTATGTGACCAGTTTTAGTTATTCCCTAAGAGTTTCCTGGGTTTCTGGAAAGATTTTTTTTTTTTTTGACAGAGATTAAAGGAACTGAACTTATTTAGCTGAGAGATAACAATGGAATAAACAGATTTACTCTCAGCGTTCATAATTGGGAAGGATGGTTTTATGAAGAGCGCCACTTAACTGTGTCAAGACCAAGGAAAAGAAATTAGCTTAGAGGACAAAGGGATTTAGGTTAGATCTCAAGACTATTCTGACTTTGGGATGAGAGACACAGATGGATTATGGAATTTCCTTTGCTAGTGGTCCTTTTGAAGGGAGCAGTCCACGCCCCTTGCTGGCATGTTTAGTGGTCCTATGAAGACAGGGGAGAGAAGAGATGTGCTCCAAAAGCTCCTTTCTCAGTGCAGGAGTGTCTGTGTGTCAGTGAACAGCAGAAAATGCTGATTTACGCTGGGGACCAAGGAGTGGGGGCAGTGATGGTCCCTGTCTGCCCACCCAGGAAAGCAAGGAGAGGCCTGGGCAGGTGGCTTGCTGATGATGGTGGCTTGTCACTTCCCTCTGCTTCCACGTTCCTTTCCAGCTGGAAGGCCAGTGCACAGCCCTGCATAACGACAAGCACGAGACCACGGCTGAGAATACCAAGCTAAAGCTTACTAACCAGGAGCTGGCACGGGAGCTGGAGCGGACGGCCAGGGAGCTCCAGGATGCTCAGCAGCAGCTGGAAATCCTCCAGCAAGAGGCCTGTAAACTGCAGCAGGAGAAGGAGCTGTAAGTACCATTTTGTACCCTCCTGCTGTTCTCCCACCCCCTTGACTGCACGTTATCTCCCCTCTTAGAGACTCCATATCCTTGAGCTCTTTCTTCCCTGATTCTTCTCCTAACACCCTTCTAGAATTCAGAGACTGTGAAGCAGTCTGTGCCACGCATAACCTGGGATCCACAAGAAACAGGTAGCCCTCATCTCAGTAAACTGATTATGTGGCTAGAAAGACATGCTATTCCACCCATAAATGTGCAGCGTTCTATGCAGATGTCAAGGGAATTGACAGACTTCTGAAGTCAGCAGGCAATTTGATAGGTGTGTGGCAAGTCTCTGAACCGGTCACTGTAGTTCTGCCCATTTTCTCCTAGCAGTGTTCTTCTGTGAGCCCAGTGGGCCCAGTGCAGGGAAGCCCACATCTCTCAGGTCTTGATTTGCCTGTGGACTCCTTTTGGTCTCTGACCATTGGCTCAGTTGGCTAAGCAAAGGCACACCTGAGTGGGAACCAAGGGGTGGATCTTATATTAAGCTAAAGGGATTGCTACAAAATCAGTTCTTTATCTTGTCTTAGGCATGTTAGGTGTTCCCAAAAAAATGTATTTTGAGACCAGGACAGAGACATCTCACTTGTTTATTTGCCCGCTCATTTATCAACACATTCATTGACTTTTTCATTTGACAGACATTTATTGCAAACTGTTCCATGCTAGGTATCACACAGAACCATTAACATACTCATTTATATTAATAATTTGACATCATCTCATTTGATCTTATAGTATCCGGATGTGGCTGGTACTATTATAAATTCTGATTTACAGATGAGGAAACCAAGGATCAGAGGTTTTCAGTATCAGCCTCAGGATGCTGAGTGTTAGACACACCCTGCTGACACCCCCAGAAAACAATGAGCCAGCCAGAAAATCCTTACACAGGAGTGGGACTGGCCATCATTCACTTACTTACGCCTGCATTCATTCTGCAAAAAGTCATTGTGTGTCTGGTCCTGAATGGTGCCAGTGAACACTGAAAGTCTTATTCCAGAGAAAAGTCCAGTAGTGTTTACTAGTGCCTAATGCTTTGCGTATGTTTACACCCCCTATTAAGTGAAAGCCCTCACTCTATTTGTCTGACCACTGCAAGATTCTGGTGCATAGGCCTAAATCAAATGTGCCTAAATCAATTTTGTTCAACTGTGGAATCCTGTACCATTTGGATAAGGATGCAAGGAAGGAAATGTGTTTGGACTGGAAATTTTACCCTAGTAAGAGATCTCCAGTTTGAACAAATAGAACACTCCCAAGTAGTTGACTTAAAACAAAGCTAAGCCAGGTTGGTAATCCTATTGCCTAGGGAGGCTGAGGCAGGAGGATCTCAAGTTCAAGGACAGCCTCAGCAACTTAACAAGGTCCTAAGCAACTTAGGGAGACACTGTTTCAAAATAAAAAATAAAAAGGGCTGGGGATGCACCCCTGCGTTCAATCCCCAGTATAAAGAAAGTATAAACAAAACCACATCCAAGTCCTTCCCTTCCAACTCTTGGATGGCCAGTTGAGGAGGGGACCATGTATTTCATTATAAACAAGCAAAATCAGTTCCTCCTCATTGAGAGCAGGTCAACAAGGCATAGGCATTTAACTTTACAAACAGAATTAAGGATTCAGGCTCTTAAAATTCAATCAAGTTCTCAAAGCAACCAGCATCTGAGGGCACAACAAGCATTAGAACAGCAAATGGAAATCAACACCCAGAGCTGCAGTGTTGCAGCTCAGCGGGAGATCCAGAGCCTCCCAAGTCTTATCTTAATTAACCAAGCCAGGCACAATCCCTGGAGGTCCAGAATTGAAAAGAGGGAGAGGAAGAGGGTAAGAAGGAAGAGAGATATAAGATCCCACAACCTTCACAACTCCTTTTCAAGAAATATTCTTGTGCAGCTAAAAGCTTTGCTGGGGCCCAGAGAGTAAGTCCCACCCAGGGAGCCCCAGGGAGAAGAGCAGGGAGAGCCCCAGCTTGTTCTCTGTAGAATGGAATTGCAGACCAGCACCACTGACAGGACCTCAGCGCTCGAACCCACCACCTTCGCTTTATGCAGGAAGAAGTTGAGACTCAGAGAGGGTAGTGGCCACCCAGATTCCACCCGAAGCTAGCTACTGCCAGAAACCAAGGACAGAGCCTAGTTCTTCTGATGTTCCTGCGTCCCCCTGACAAAGTCTTGCTTCCTGATGCTGCTCCAGAGCAGCTGGGAGGAGAGAGGGTAGGGTTCAAGGTAAACAAACTTAGACACTTATCAGCAAGAACTCTGTACAAGCAAAATTAATTTTCCTGTTCTCCGAAGATGCTCAAGGTAGGAGAACTAGATTTTAAAATGAGATTCAGGAAAGAACTCTCAAGCTGGGAGATAATATAAAGATGAAGGTCAGCTGATAAGCACTTCTCTGTTTATTTTTTAATTAACTTTTATCTTGAGTGAGTAGTTTATGACAAGCTCAAAAGCATAAACACCCAAAGAGGTGTACACTGCCCATCCCCAGGACCAGGGTCTCCTGTCACCCAGAGGCCACCAGACATGGTGGGTCCTCTAGTGGGTCCTTCCAGAGTATGCTCCATTTGTGTAAACATGTGCATTTACACACACACACACACACACACACACACTCACACATGTGTGTGTTTTTCTTTAGGAGATGGTAGCATACCAGGCATTCTGTGCTGCTTAATCTTGCATTTCTCACTTGACAATATATTTTGTAAAGTGTTCCATATCTCTTCTCTTTCCTAAAAACCAAGCCAACAGCAGTTCCCTAAAGGGACCCATAAACCTCCTGCCAATGACTACAACAAAAAACAGCAGGTTCTTTCTCTTTCAGTTTGCATATTACCAAGGACTAGAATTTGTGAACCTCTAGCTTAGAGGTTAAAAATCAGCGAGCCAAATATCCACATGTGATTTTCTTCCCAGAGCCTTTCTTTTTATGTCAACACACAAAAAGTATCTGAATATGTGTGTGGGGGTGCATGCACTTTTATCTAAATAGACACGTGTGCACTGGACAAGGAGATAACACATATATTTGCACAAGTCTTTCCATCCAAATTCTTGGATGGCTGGTTGTGGAAGGACCATGCATTTCACTATAAGCAAGCAAAATCATGTATGTCCTTCACATGTTTGTGCATCTCCATCCATCCACTGGTGCTGTAGACAGGGCTGGAGAAGGTCCAGAATGCATTGTGATTTAGGAATTGGCTTCTCAAACACTCAGTGAGAACCCAGGCCTTGGATCTCCAGTGGGTGATTTTTCCTCAGTAGGGGAAAAGCTATCTGCTGTAGCTATCCCTGGAGAGAGTCAGGAGCCAGGGCTGGGGTGGGAGAACCATAGAGACAGGCACAGGCAATTGGCAGCTCCCAGGGCACAGAGGGAGGAACAGGCAGATCGGCACACTTCGTGCTAATCAGAGCAAAGTCCTAAACCAGAGTTCGGGGACCCGATTTGGATAATGAGAAATGCATTGTTTTCCCTTAAGTTGAAATTAAATATAGTTGGTAATAAAATGTGAGGAATTTGTGGCTCTGTAGGAGCCAGAGAAGTTTTACTGCTTAATTAGGATTGTCTGAGGTGAACTTGGAATTTGATTCAGTCTGTTATTGTCATAGAGTGACTTCATAATTATTCCATAAAGGAGAAAAAGAGAGAGAGAGAGAGAACATGATTCCTCTTAAGGAATCCGATTACCGGGTGCTTGGCAGGACAGTCCTGTGGACCCAGTCCTGTCACCCTCAGTAATGACATCAATAGGATGGCAGAGGGGTGACTGCCCTCTCAGCCCAGTGAACACAGGCCAGGCTGCCTGGACTGCTTGCCAAAAGTGACCCCTTCATCAGGTTGTAGGAGGCTCCTATGCTAACAACTGTTCTGTGCCCTGGGAGTGTGCACTCCAGGCCTTTGTGGTTAAATTGGAGAATGATTTGAAAATTTCTAAACCGTGGTTCAAAGTACAGCAGCATTGTGAAGCAAGTTTCCCAAGGTCAACCAATTCTGCTTTATATTTTTCTTTCTCTTTCCTTTGTGAGTGATGCTGAAGACCTCCCAATTCCTTCCTTCCCTCTTTCCCTCCTCCCTTCCTCTCTTCCACCTTCCCTCCCACCCACCCTCCTTCCTTCTCCTCTTCCTCCTGCTTTCCCCTCCTTACTTCTCCCCTCCCCCTCACCTCATTTCTTCTTCCTGCTTCAATTTGTGAACCAGGTCTCCAGGCCAGGCCCTGGGTTAAGCTTGTAGGGCATGGCCTCTGTCTCCCAGTCTGGGTTGTCCTGTGTATCAGCCTCTCCTCTCTCTCTCCACCTTTCTTGAGAGTCCTGATATGACTGATAAGCTCACACTGTGATATAAATGAGTGATTGCAATTGATATATTCAATCTTTCTATTATAGCCAGAGACTGAAAAACCCTGTCAAAGAAATGAATGCCCATCAGTGGAAAAATTCCAGAGATCTAGGAACATATTAGGGATTTGAGGGGGAAGGTGGAAGAGGGGAAAGATTTCTTCTAGAGGCCCCCCAAAACAAACAAAATCAGCATCTAGTAGGGTGTGTGGGATCATGCAAATTTTGCTCTCACTATCCAAAGTCAGGCTGGAGAAGATTAATTCCCTAGAGTCTAGAGAGGACAGGATGGTTTGAAGCTTGGAACAGTGGAACAGGCACGTGACCTGGAATGAGCAGGTTGGGGGCAGAGGTCTAGATGTAGCTGTCCATGTGACCTGGGAGAGTCATCAAGCTTCTCTGACTGTCCCTGTCTGTTAAACAAGGATGTTCTCATGTTCAGATACAATGTCTGGAGGAGCAGCTGAGCTGAGGCCATAAGCACCTGCACGTTGTACATGCTCTCCAAGGGAACGTGCTCTCCAAGGGAAGGTCATGTTTCTCCATCTGCTCTGTCCCGAGTGCAGGCTGTGCCTGCTGGTTTCCAGCATGAGGGTTCCCTCCCTCTAACTTCAGCACAGTGCCTCAGATCCTGTCATCCCCTTCCCTCCCCTGTTGGCCACTACTCATCATGTTGACCATGCTGTGTCTGCCTCCTCCTCAGGGAAGTGTACCGGGTGACAGAGAGTCTACAGCGGGAGAAGTCTGGACTTCTGAAGCAGCTGGATTTCCTCAGGTGCATGTGGGGCACATCTCAGAAGCCCCAGGTCAGAGGGCCATTCTGAAAGTTCTTCACTGCCTACGTGCTGAGAGACTGACTGCTCATGCCCTTGGTCTCCAATGTATGGTTTATAACTGAGTACTACACTCTGTGATGGGTCCTTTTGCACACTTTCCCATCTCCTGTACAGTTTGCTCTTCTTTGTGGATAAGCACTGTCTCATTGTTGGGGTCCCTCATTGTATTGTGCATAGTACTTGCTCAAGTAGGATTGGAACTGGATTTATTGAGCAACTACTTTATGCCAGATACATTATCTCTTTCATCTTCAACAAAGCTGTTAGGTAAGTAGGGCAGTTGTTAACCCAGTGCTTCACTGATAAAGAAGTTGATGTTAGAGAAATGAAATAATTTATCATAAGAGACATAGCTTCTCACTGATGAGCTAGAATTGAAATCCATGTCTGGATGGTTCTTTTTGCTCAGTTGTATTCAGCTTCTGTTTGTGGACTGAGTAAATGAACACAAACAGCACCAAGAAAAGAGTTTCCTGAGCTTTCTAAAAAAAATAACATTCAAATCTGGAATGTGCAAAGAAGAAGAAAAGGAGGAGGAAGAGGAAGAGGAAGAAGAAAGAGAAAGAAAGAAATGAAGGGAGGGAGGACAGAGGGAGGGAGCAAGGGAGTGGGGGAGGATAACAAGAAAAACTCATGTGGGGTAAGATGGAATTTTCAGTTTTGCCTCTGAGGTTTCTATGTCACTGTACCTGCTACCTGCTGGTCCCCTCTTGGGCACAGTGATTAATCAGAAGGGCTCTGGGTCCTGATTTTTAAAGAATATGTGCTTTGTGAATCACTGCCCAGATATGTTTTGGTGTTTGGGGTTTTGGCTTTGTGACAACAAGGCTAGGTCCCCAAGTCTGGTATCGATGATGGAGCCAGATGGAAAGGACCCTCCACCTAGTTCAGACACTCTCCACTCAAAGCCTGAAGTAAGCCGGCATCTACAGGCAGGGAGATGGAGGGGACTCTTAGGTGGCCAGGTTCTCACCCATTTAGAGGAGATCTTATTCTTAGGCAGGCTTTCATGAAAGGAAGAGAACCAGATGTACAAGGACAGGTTTTTTATTTCTTTTTCTACTGCAAAGAAAAAAATAGAAAAAAAAAGTTAATGAAAGAGCAGTGCTCTATAAATGCAGAGCAGACCTTTTTCCTATTACAGTGAAATCACCAGGAATCCAGGGGAGAGATAATGCCTGGGGTGGGGAGGGGAGGGCAGTGGGAATGTGGGGGTAGGCCTGGCCATGGGATCTGAACCATGGCTGCAACATGGCATGTGAGGAGGACTACCAGCCTAACAAGAATGGGAGCAAACAGATGCAAGTTCAGGGCAGTGGCCTGGGAGCAGGCACCTTGGAGTTGGATCTGGTTACAGACACTGCCCCTCATGGTCTTGTGTAACCTTGGGTAGATGACTTAAGCAGCTGGAGCCTTAACTTTCTCCTGCCTAGCTCATGGGTGACTGAAGAATTAGATGCTACGTGTGAATGAGAATCCCGACAGGGCAATGGTGTGGATGAAAGCAGATACATATAAAGAATGCAGTGTTTCTTTAAATACTGAAACTTCTGCATGGAGATGGCTACACAAGGCAGGAAACAGCACAGCTTAAGGTGTGGCATCTCAGGTCCTCACATCTCTATGCAGGAACAAGCCTGCTTACCTGCTGCCTGCACAGAGCAAAGGTCCTTCTGGCATGAGCATTTCACTTGGCCATTCTCAGAGTTTCCAAAATACCCTCCACGCCCCTGCCCCTGACTTGTCCCAAACATCTTGGCTGTACCCACTCATCTGCAGGTAACTGAAAACAACCCTGGCATATTCTTAATGTTTTCTGCAAGACTAGGGAAATTGGAGGTCAGGTGTCCTGGCTGCCATTCCTGGGGCCTGCCTGAAGTCTGTTCCTACAGTTTATAGCGTGCTCAGCAGAATGCCTTGCCCACAGTAATACCCAATAAATGGCTGCATTAGGGACCTGACCATAACCATGCCTGCCCTTCTCCTTCAAAAATGTGCATTGGTTCAGAGGCCACTGGTCCAGTGAGTCACAGAATCACAGAACTGCAAGGCCAAGGCACTTTGAAGTCACCTGTTCACCCTCCCGACCACTTGCATTAAGAGATAAAATTGCCAACATTAACCTCAAGTGCATCCTTCAGTCACACTACATCCAGAGTCTACTCACCATCACCCCCACTCCTCTTTCATCAAGCCTCCAGCTCCCCTTTTCACCCTCATGATTAGGCTCCTGGTTCAGAGACAGCCAGAACCATTACACAAGAAAGATCTTGCTCCTATGCTGATCTGTGCCCATGTCTCTGCCTTCTTCGCTGTTGTGGTGGGTGAGCCCCTTGTTCTCCTATCAGAGACCACCCCACCCTACCCCTGTCCCCAGCCTGTGTTCTAGAATCGATCCTACCTCCTCTCACCTCCTCAAGGACTATTTGTTCTCATTCTCTTCCATTGTCAGGTCTTTCTCTTTGGGGAAGAGACCTACAAATATACTCTAACATTTTGTACTTAATTAACATCTTTTGTCTTCACTTCCCCATCCAGGTACTTTTCATTTCTTCCAACCCTTTATAACTTTCAAAAAAGTCATTTTCCTTTACTGTCTGCATCCTTTTCTTCACATTCTTAACCCTCCACCATCTTGCTATTGTTCCATTGAAATGGTTCTTATCCTCACTAAAATATTACTCTGCTCTCAGGGTCCCTCCCTTGTTAAAGCTGTAATCAGACTGTGATGCCCTCTTAGTACTCAAAGTTCTTACAGTGATCCACATGCCACTGTTCATGGGCAGTGCCAGCTCACCCCACAACACACACATTTTTCTCTGACCTCATCTTTTAACTTCTCTCCCTTTGAGCACTCTATGCTATCCTGTTTCTCACACACACCAGCCACATTTCAACTCCAGGTTTTGCCTTGCTCTGCTCTTCCTGGAATGTTCTCCCCAGGTACCTGCCTAGCTCCTCTCCTCCCCTTCAAGTCTCTGCTCAGAGGCTGCCTTACCATCAAGGCCTTTTCTGACCACTCTAGTTAAAATAGCATGCCACTCTCCTCTTTCCACTTGCCCCCTGTATCTTCTCAATAGCAGTTATCCCCTGAGATAGGAACGTGGTGTTTTATTCACCAAGGTGAGCATCATACTCATGTATGTGTCCTTGATAACTAGAACAGGGCCTGAAAAATAGTGGATGCTCAGGAGACATTTGAAGAATGAATGAATGGTTCAGAAAGGGGAGGCCCATAACAAGCCCAGAGGGGGAGGCAACCCCTAGTAATGGGGACCTGGCATGAGCCTGAAGAACAGTGGGGCAAAAAGCCATTTGTTTCGTTCATTTCCTCTGAGCTAATTTACATACAAACTCTCCTGTCTTCAGCCACTTTCTTAAGGAAAGACAATGCAGGCTCCCGGGGCCCTCTATAACAGGTCTTCCGCTGCACACAGCTGAACAGTAAATTGGCTACTATTGGGTTGGTCAACTTCAAACTCCATATTTGAATACCTTTCCCCTTACTATCTACAGGGAAAGGAACAAACACCTTCGGGATGAACAGGATATAAGTTTTCAGGTAATTGGCTGATGCCCCTGGGGGGTGGGAACAGCAGGAAACAAGGGTGGTGGTCCAGAGGCAACCAGATCGATGCCTGGACTGACCCAAGGTCATCTAGACATTTGGGATGAGTTTTATGTTTTGGATGTGGGCAGGTCTATGGCCTAAGATGTTTTGCCAATAATAAAAATGTAAGGTAGACTACTGGGTAAGAGTATGTGAATTTTCCATGAAGTAATACACCCTCCTCTTGGCACAACAACAATTTGGGTGGGCTACATATTTCTTGAATGCAGAAATGATAGTTCCTTCCATGAAATGGCACAGTTGAAATGTCACTATCACTTTTAAATCAAAATGTTTAGTTTCTTGCTTTCCTTTAAATTTTGCATTTTTACACTGCCATAGAATAAATTAAAAATGCATATATTGCTATTTACATAGTCCATTTTATGTGCCATTTTGCTACTCTGTAGGGGACCCCTCCTCTTCCATATTTGAGCATCATACTCATGTATGTTATTTCCAAATAACATAAAATCCTATATTTATGTAGAGGTCTTCACTGTAGGTCACATGAAACAAAATCTAATATTTCATGCTCCCCTGCTCATCATTCCCTTTAGAAGTTGCCATTGAATTCTCTAAGGGAAGAAAAGTGGAGCAAGATTGATTGACATGTCCTCCTAATTACAGGATTATCATAGTACAAATCATGTGTGTGTTCTTGAGAAAGTCATTAACTATCTTGGACCATGACCTACTGTCACATGAGGAAAGAGAATCCCTATCCTTTTGTCTTCCCATGTTCTAGAAGTTTTCAAGAAAAGTTCTTGGAAAGAGAATAATGGGTACTGGACCTTTGGCTAAATAGTAACCTAATTATGGTCAGCCTAAGGCAGCTAGATTGCCCTGAACTGGTCCCAACCTGGTTTTTAATGCCAGTCCCTAAGGAACTTTGTAATACCTTCATTTCTTTGATATTCCCAACCCGCAGCAAACGTCTCTGCCGCCCACCTGTGTGTACTATCAGAGCAAGGCTTAAGCCTACACATGTTTGCTTGATGATGATAATGGTTATAATTGTTTTAGAACTAACACTGATTTTTTTTTCAAACTTTCAAACAAATGTCATCGTAATCCCTTGACCGGGCTTCCCTTTACCTGCCAAACTCATTCTGCTTTGAAAAGCCGGTAGAATGAAGAACTCCAGTGGGAGATTGAAGGAAGAGGGATAAAATCCTGTCGATGTGAATAGTAATTAAAGATTCATTGGCATCATTAAAGCCATACCTTCAGGGGCCCTGGGAGCTCGCAGCACCTCTTCCCCTCATTAAGGATCATTGGGAATCATGGGATGACTGATTAATGAGAGGTTCTTCCTGTGATCTAACACCCCCCACCCCAACCAACCCATCTCCTGGAAGACATCTGTTTGGGAGCCTTGGCAAAGGGGATCATAAGCCTCCACTTCACTCAGGTTCTCTGTTACAGATGTTTGAGCAGTTTACACCCAACCTGCTAATACAAGAGATCTGAAAAATTTTACACTAGCATAGGAGTCATGAACAGCATGATGGACTGGGTTAATTGACCCTCTAGGCTAGTCCCTTTCTCATCATATTGGGGGATTTGGAAAAAAGAGGGATTAGAGTGTGATTTAAAATGCACAGAAATGTGTGGGGAGTGCAGCTCAGTGGTAGGTAGAGCACTTGCCTAGCCATGTGTGAGGTCCTAGTTCTACTCCCAGCACTGAAAAAAGAAGGAGGAGGAGGAGGAGGAGGAGGAGGAGGAGAAGAAGAAGAAAATAAATCAAATAATAAAATGCACAGAAGTCTTTTTATACTTTAAAATAATTTTTTTCTTATGCATTCAACATTTCTCTTCTTTGTCCTCTTGCAAATTATAATGCTTATGTGTAGAATAACATGGTAGACCCTAGGCTCAAAATTATTTGTTCATTTTTTTAGGACTATTGGAAAGGAGATGGAGGAATTTTGGTGGGGGAGGTTGGAAAAGTGGAGAGGGAGAGAGTGGTAACAGGGAGTCCAGGACACTACTTGCTTACTCCAGTCTTGTCTGGAGTCTGACCTAGGAGGTGGGAATGGTGTGCCATTTTCTATTCAGACAATGGGGCAAATCCACAGGCATGGATCTCAGGGCCTTTTGTGTTTCTACAGAAAGAAAAGGCAGCCAAGGCTGACAAGGCTGCGCCCAAGGCAAGCAGGAAGCAGAGATCTGGCTCTGTGATCGGCAAATATATGGACAGCAGAGGGATTCTCAGAAGGTAAGTCGCCATGTACTCCTTCGTCCATTCATTCATCTCCTGCTCTTCGGGAGCCAGTTCTGGGCCTACGCTCAGTGCAGATTGGCTCCTGGTGTTATGATCCTGATAGGGAGGCCTGAGGTCAGCTGCATGCACTCTCCTCGATTCTTTGAGGGCACAACACTTCCTCTTGTCACATCCATGCAGAGCAAACCCCTAGGACAGGGCATTGTCTTCTTGCTACCCCACCCTAGTGTGTGCCTGTGGAGGATTGAAGGGTGCTACAGACAAACAGAATGAGGAGGGGAGAGGGATTCGAGGAAGAGAGCGATGGAGGGCAGTGCTGTTGTCTGTTGAGCAGAATGGACACACATAGTTTTTCAGGAATATGACTGTGTTGTCTGTAAAAGTTCATTGAAGTGTCACATGGAGTCTCCAGTGGTTGAACTTTTTTTTTTCTAATTTGTTTTTTAGTTATACATGACAGCAGTTATCTATTTGGATACATTCTAGTTGAACTCATAGAGAAAAGATTGGGGCTTTGACAGAACATTTCAGGGATTCATATTTAACTATCTCAAAGATAACATGTTTTGTTGCTGTTGGAAAGCACATGATTGAGTTTGAGTACCCAAAGAGTTGGCCTATTACTCAAACCAGTCCCCTGCCCCCTCCTCTTTTCGGCATGTGCTGTAAAAACATAGATGGCCACAAAAAGGTAGAAGCACACCTAGATGGCCACAGAGATGCAGGGGGAGTGAGACCCTTCAGGATCAGATCCAGGAAGAAAGTCTATAAACTTGCTCATGTAGAAGACCCTGAAGATTGCAAGCACAAAATAAAAAGATACGCAAAGGCAAAGTGACTTTGGGAATGTAAATCAGCTAATCAGTAAAATCTGTGAGTCTGATTCTCATGAATTCCTTCTCTAAATAGCTGAATAATAAGATACAATTTGGGAACGAAATTTATGTAATAGTAGTTGCCCTGTTGGTCCCTCAGTACTGAAAGAATTCATTGATTGACTGATTCCGCAGGCCTTATTGATTATGTACTCCATACCAGACATTCATTTGAATTTTTTAAAGGCTCCAAAGAAATTATATGTGGATCCCATCATTAATATCCATTATTAAATGCTGATTTAGTGAATATTTTTGATTGCCTACTATGTGTATGTTATTGTGCCATGAACTGGATATGCAGTGGTAAGAAAAATAAACCCATCTCTGTTCAATGAACTTTGAGCTGAGTAGAGGAAAGAGACAATAATCCAATAAGCAACAAATTGTGAACTCTAAATTCCAATACAGACCCAGGCAGAAGTAGCTGCTCTCTCTACTGCTGGCAGAGAGCATTTGGTGGCAAAACCAAAAATGAACTTTATCACGCTAAGCTGAAGTTTTATAGAATGTCAAGAGGACTTAAGAATTTCCCAAATAAAAAGCTTTTTCCAAGAAATATTACATTTTAGGGCCTAAGTGGCTATTTCTTTTCTGATTGTAAGGCCTCTGAAAAAACTTGCACATTTGCTCACACGTGCACACAAATATTCATCATTATTTCATAAGCAGATGAAAATGGACAGGAATTCTAATTTGTTCTGCATCATACAACCAGTTAACAGGCTTGAGAGCATATATAGGAAGCATGCTGGAAAGAAGCCAGTTGGCTTTTACTTAAAAATATGATTTTATAAGGAAAAGTAAAGGTGTTTGAATTGCTACAGATCTCTTATTTTTCTATCAAGAATCCAAACTAGTTCATCACTGTTGTGAGCAAGCACTGGATATTAATTTATCTTTCAGAATGCATTTTGGTGACATGTGCATTTTGGTTTTCTTTTCCTTCCCACTGTTTGTTCTTAGGAATAATAAATATGATAAGCTAGGGGGCAAAGTAAAGATGTTTCTCTATTCTGTATATCCTGTGTCTTTCACTTGCTTTCCTTCTTTGGCTATGTCACCTCATTACTTTATCCCTATTCCATTCTGTTTTCTAGTTCATGTGTGTGTGTGTGCGTGTGTATGTGCGTGTGTGTGTGTGTGTGTGTGTGTGAGAGAGAGAGAGATTGCCTGACAAATTTCCATCCCTTCTAAGACGATTCTCAGCTTTACTTGTTCACACAGACCTAAAGGAACTCCCATGCTCAGGAGGATCTGTGAGACTTTTGCTCTCAAAACCTTACAAAGGGCTGGTGTGTAGCCCAGGGTAGAGCACTTACCTAGCATGTGCAAGGCCCCAGATCCAATCCTCAATACTGCAAAACAAATGAACAAACAAACAAAAATACTACTGAAAATATTCTGCCTTACAATGAAAGTGCATTTACTCTACATTCCAGGTGCCCAGTACCCCTACTTCCTGCTGCTCCTCCTCACCATTAATGTTCAAATGCTTCTAGAAGCAAGTATGCACTTAGGTACACTTACTCCTGGCTCTGATTTCTAGGGACACAGAAAGAGAAACGGAGAGAGGAAGGAAAGAGATGGACATGCCTTCTGACCCAGGGCCCCTTCTCAAGGGGCAGCTGCCTCTGAGCTGGTGGACACCTGCTGTGTGGGGTGTGGGGGGGTCTTCTCCAAACAACTGTACCCTCACCGAGCTGAGGAGGCTGTGTGAACCTACCTGTTTTCTGTCATAGTCTCATCTGTGAGGCAAGGGTGGGGCCGAAGTGGGGGGGGGGGGCGGAGGAGAGGAAGTGCCTTACCTGATGGCACACAGATAATAACAGCTGGTGCTGGAGCAGAACCTGGCAGCTGATTGTCAATCTGGGTGCTTTATTCTGAGTCTGGCGCGCCTTTCTTCACTACCTTCTCCTTCACAGGCCTCTCCCCACTTATGAAAATGTGTTTATTTGTGTCATTTTTGCTTTGGTCTCCCTCTGACCCAGCACTCGATGAAGATGGGGCCTGTGTCCGCCCCGTCCTGCCTAGGTCTTAGCACCTGGGCACACTCTCCCCATCCACAGCCTCAGGCCCTGAGTGGGAGTGTGTGGAAGGTACGAGCTGAAGAATGATGGCTCTGTTGTCTTCCTTTCCTTTCTGGAGTTCTCTTCTCCAAAGCAAGGGTGCTCTTCAGCTATCACGGAGGTCATCAGGCCGCCCTCGGCCTCGGTATTGACAGGCTTTCTGACATTCTCCCACGTGTCTTTCTCCCCAATCCCAACAGCCAGTCAGAGGAGGAGGAAGATGTGTTTAGCCTGCAGAGAAGGAAGAGCTCCCTGGGCCTGAGTGGATATCCTCTTACAGAAGAAGACTCAGGGACTGGGGAGACAGGGGCTGGGGGTCCACCCCGCAGGGCCCTCCGCAGAATCATCTCCATTGAGGAAGATCCCCTGCCCCAGCTCCTGGGTAGTGGCTTTGAGCAGCCACTGAGCAAATGTCCAGAGGAGAGGGAAGCCTCTGAACAGGCAGGAGGAAGACAAATCCGGCAGGCCACGCCTTTGGAACTCACCCCCACATCTCCCAGAGGACAACCTGTTGGCAAAGAAGCCCTCTATAAGGTAAGGACACGGCACGACTCAATTTGTAGACCTCACTCCTATGATCTGTCCCTGGCCTTTGAACCCAGGAGCCCTGTGGGGCTCTCAGAAGGTCACTTGTAGTAGGTCCTGTGATTCACCACATTTGTGTCTTACAAATGCCACCTTCCCCTGCTTAGTTGAATGTCATGGGGAGAGACCCAGGGGTCCTGACACATTTCCTTTATAACTGCTATTTGCCTCATTCTCCATCCTTTTCCTTCTCTTCTGATTCAGATCTGAAACATTTATTGAGCACCTACTTAAGCTACACCTTCTGCTGGACTCTTAGCATACAACATCAGATACTTGCAAATAGAAAAAGTAAATTAAGCAATAACAATAATCCCATGAGATATGTTCAAAGTTGCACAGTTTGTAACTGCTCTTGAGTTACAATCCCTGCATTAGAATTATGGTGGTACACACCTCCTGAGGCAGGAGGATCGCAAATTCAAAACTAGCCTCAGCAATTTAGCAAGGCCCTAAACAACTTAGTGAGACCCTGTCTCTAAATAAAAATTTTTAAAGAGCTGAGGAAGTGGCTCAGTGGTTAAGTACCCCCTGAGTTCAAAACCTGAGTTCAAAAAAGTGTGCATGCCATAATTTTTCTCTTGGTTCTTAGGTTTTTAATCAGCTAATCACCGTTTATTCTCAAATGTCTGGCCTGAGCATCCCTTCAGTGTGATCCCACCCACCTCCCATTCCCCACCAGGTTGCCTGCTAAATTCCACAGGGAGAAAGGAGACCATGTGAAAAGTCTTCTTCTGGCTCGTGGTAATGATATCCTTCTCCTCCTTTGTGACCTAAACCTCAAAATAAACTGCTCAGGTCCTCATTCTTTGCTTGACCCTCTGAAACAGCTTCAGAAATGTCATAGCAATGTGCAAGAGGCCGTTACCACTGAACTTCTTGACACTGGTGGCCATTTGGGGTCTGGGGTGCATGCCTACATCTCACCCCTTTGAAGATCTTATTACAAGGAAAAAGTGGGCAGCTGGGTAGCACCCACTGGTGGAGCCCCTTCCTCCAACATGCCCGTCCACATCTCCGTGCATGCTCAGACCTGCATGTGCTTTTCAGTGGGCACAAGTGATGTTTTCAGTGCCTCTGGGTATCCTCCCAAAAGGTGAAGTGTCAAGAGGTCGGTAGGAGACTGGAGTAAAGAAAAAAGCTACACTTGCAAATCTGCTGAGGCATTATCTGATGCGGCCTATCAGAAATGCTTCGGCCCCCTTAACAGATGGGAAAGTAGGAGCCCTAAGGGCTGAGGCCCCGCCCCTCTGCTGGGCTCTTAGCAGAAGGGAGGGTGCACTTTTAACAGTCACATTCTCATGTCTGTACTCTCCCTGTGAGTCCATGTTGCCATTTTGCTGGGAATAGAAACTGCAATGGAGAGGAAACATAATTTGCTAGAAGCCACGTGACTGTGTCAAAGAGGGGCTGCTCTTTGGAAGGCTGATGTGAGGCAGGCTCTGCTATACAGGACTGGGGAGGCATAAAATGGTACCCAATAGAAATGAAGAGTTTAAAAAATATATCTTTAGAACCAGCACTTCTAGCAATTTTTTTTTCAAAGGAAATAACCAAAATTGGGTAAAGATTTAAGTCAAGAATGTGTTATTCAAAATAACACATGGTAGTCAGGATTATACCCAGCAACTCAGGAGGCTGAAGCAGGAGGATCACAAGTTCAAGGCCAGCCTCAACAACTTGGTGAGGCCCTAAGCAACTTAGTGAGGCCCTGTCTCAAAATTTTAAAAAGTGAGGATGTAGCTCAGTGGTAAAGCATCCCTGGGTTCAATTCTCAGTACCAAATAAATAAATAAATAAAATAGCATATGGCTGAAAAATCACCCAACCATCAATTATACTATATTAATTTAATGCAATAGTATACAGTTGTTAAAAATCACATTTTTTAAAAAAGCAACTCGAAGAAATACATATAATTTAATAATTATGACAAAAAAATGAAATTAGAGACAGGTGCAGTGCCACATGCCTGTAATGCCATCAGCTTTGGAGGCTGAGACATAAGGATCACAAGTTCAAAGCCAGTCTTGGCAACTTATCGAGGCCCTAAGCAACTTAGCAAGAACCTGTCTCAAATTTTAAAAGGGCTGGGGATGAGGCTCAGTGGTTAGGTGGTTCAGTACCCCTGGGTTCAATCCCTGGTACCAGAATATATATATATATATATATATATATATGACTATGACAAAAGAAGATACAACTATATATCATTCGTGTGAGTATGTATACTTATATTTTACGTAAAAATATCTCGAATCTCCTTAAATAGAGTAGCTGAGGAAGGATTATTTTTTCCTTCCTACTTTTCTGTATTTCCTAATTTAAAAAATTAGTACATATTACTTTCATCTGGGGGAGTTCTTTTTTAAAAAGGCATATATGAGGGAAGATGAGCGCACCTCCCACTCCCAGCCGAGGTTTCCTTTTTCTCAGACTGCAGCCCAGTTCACTGTTACCAGCAGGTGGATTGTCCCTCAGGGGGGACAGCAGGCCCAGTGCCTGAATGTGAGCAGTGGGTCACTGCTCTTCTGAGGTAAGCCCTGCCTGAAGCTGAACCATCTTTGTGTTTGTTTGTGGGCCTGCAAAAGAAAGTCCTCTTCCCAGGGGAAAGGGGTGGTAACCACAGAGTTAAGGGTCAGGCAGTGCCTTGGCCACCAGGACAGCCTCCTCCTTCCTGTGCTCCCCATTCTCCACCTTGTGTCTGTGCCTGGGGGTAAACAGATGGGTGTACTACATTTTAATCTCAAACAAATGATAATTAAGGCACAGGGACAAGATGCTGGCAGAGAACCAGTGCCCTTGTGCTTTGCATGAATAAATAAAGTGGGGCAGGGAGCATTATTTTTGAGTGTGGGTTGTTGTTGTTTCTTTTAACTTTTAGTTTACATTCCTGTAGTTGACCTTGAGTTTCTTCCTAAGTACTATATGAAATAGATTTCTCCCCCAAAGGTTGTTAGTGGTTTTTCTCTAAAACTCAAGTGCTGCTAATATCCGCTGCTGCTCCTCCATTATAGTATTTGCTCAATGAGAGCAGCTAACTTCCCCCAAATCCACTTTTAAATAGATTCCAAAGAGCTCCTCCTTTGGCCAGGCAGGGCTGAGCTGGGATTCAGGCAAGGCTCAGGAGAGCAAGCTGTGCTTTGGAAGGAAGAACCGACCGCTCAGCAGAAGGGAACCCGTGCAGGAAAGCCACCCACTCTTTATACCACCTCCTACGCACTTGGTGTCCAAGAGCAAATCTGTCCCATTTCTGTCTTTTAATGTCTCAGATTGATAGGCAGGTTAGTTCCCAGCTCTGTCCCCCTCTGTGGGTCAGGGAGAAGCAGCACTGTTACTGGCTGCTTCTGGGAACATCATGGGACTTCCCAACTTACTGAGTGGAGGCCTTCATTACTGGAGGAAGATGTCACACAGAAGACACAAGAGCCAGGTGCAGGGAGGCAAGAGTATCCTCCTTCCATCCAGACTTTCAAGGGCAGGGCAAATGCGGATATCTCTGTACCCTGACTAAAGAATAGGCCTTCTTCTCTCCATCTCTCTTTCCCCCTGCAAACGCCCCAGTGTGTTCTTCCCCACATAGAGGCTTCATGGCTCCTCCTCAGGCCCTGCTCTCTGAACCCTTGGCTCCTCCGCTATGCTCTCAGAACTCTTGGAGCATTGTGCTTTAATAGTTTGCTTCCATGCCTGCCTCTTCCTCTGCACCTCAACCAGGGCCTGCCTCCTCCTGGGTCACAGCAGGTGGGCTTCCCTTGGTTGGTGGCTATTTCTCTTCCCCTCTACTGATGCTAGAAGGAGCTTCCATGCCACACCCGGGCCCTAACTGCATTCTGGGTCTGAAGTGGCGGCCCTGGTGCTATCTTCTGTGGAGCCCAGCAGAGACAGGTGAAGGGCGAGTCCTGGCAGCAGCAGGGGCTAGTGGACGTGCCCAGGAGGTGACCAGACTGTCTGCCCTCAGCAGGAGGAAAGCTCTCCCTCTACCCCAGACCGGCTCTTCAAGATTGTGTTTGTGGGCAACTCAGCGGTGGGGAAGACATCTTTCCTCAGGCGGTTCTGTGAAGAACGGTTCTCCCCAGGCATGGCGGCCACTGTCGGTGAGTTCTGTCCCAGAGAGGGATTAGGAGCCCACAGGAGGGGCCATGGGACTGGCTGGTAGGGACACTAGTGTCTGCTGTTGGTTCGATGGTGGCCTAGAGGGGCTGGGACGTTGCTGGGCCACTGAGCTCATTCGCGTGTGATGGAAGCCCTGAATGCTCCATAAACTAGCCCTGGGTTTATGGGATGAAGGTGGGCAAAGATGGATTTGGGGCCCTTTTATTGTGTGAGCTCCCACCCACCTTGCACGGCTCCTTCCCCCTTGTCAGCAGGACCCAGAATCTTCATGCTCCCCCAGGACTGACCAGGGCTTCTCCAGGGACTCATGCCCTGCCACCACACCCCTCTGCCTTTGAGAAGGGACTGGTACTTCCTTGCCTTGCCTCTTCAAGTGCACACAAGTGTGTGTGTGTGTGTACACAGATGTGTCACAGTGTTCTGCTTACCAATTGAATTTTACCTGTCCTACATCCCAGTCCTGCTGGGTGACAGCTGGAATTAATTGTGGAAGCTCATTAGGCTTAGCATTAATGGATGATCATGGCTGGATGTATTCCCACTCTTGGATAATATTTTACTTAAATAGAGGCTATTAATTGCTTCACCCTAAGTTGCACATTGCATTGGAATACGTAGCAAGACCCAAGGGCATATTGACCTTTTAGCTTCCACCAAGTCGAATCACTCAACAAAATATAAATACATTGAAGGGCTACCATGTACTATTTAACCCGATGGAGAAATCAACTGTACTTAATGTATTTAGATGATTTGAGTATTGACCAAGGACTGTTATGTTCATCATCTCAGTCTATCTTCCTAACACCCTTAGGACAGGTATTGTTATTAGCACAATAGTCAGATCAGGAGACTGAGGCCCTGAGAGGTTAAGAGGCTTGTCCACACTTCTATCAGTTGGTTAATACTAATCCCTAATCCCCCCAACACACCTTCTATCCCATTCCACAAAGCCCCAAATAACATCGAGTTGTATGCACTGGTACTCTGTGGGTGATAGGGACCTTTCTCTGCCTTGGGAGCAAGGAGAGGTTGGTGCAAGCAGGAGAGGCTGTGGAGGTTCAGTGAGACATCACAAGTCCTGTGTCCTCCTCCCAGCTCTGCCACTGACCAACTATGTAACCTTGAGAGGACATGATCCCTCTTTGGGCTTCAGTTTTCTGTCATGTGTAAGCTGAGTGATTATTTCCAGGTGGTGAGGCAGGAATCAATGACTATGGGGAGGACGCACCTCCTCTGGAGATCACTCCAGGCAGTGGGCCCAAGTCATGGCTCCAGCACAGATGGGAGGCAGGGGCATGGACAGCCTCAGACCCTTAAAGGCCTGCTGCCACCCCTCCCAGCACTGTGCCTCTCGTGTCAACAAGATCAGGTTCCATTTACATTTTCAACCTATGGCCCTGAGATGGAAGGCCCTGAAAAAGAGAAAATCAGACTAATTTGCACTTCCCAAGAGACCAATTATGGAAACACATACAATTTAGGAAGTGGGAAAAAAATCAAAGTTTCCAAATCAGGAATGCCCTTCATCACCCTGCTCAAAACACATGGGGCTGCTGCTCATGTTGGTTTCCCTGCCATACAACATCCCTTTCCCTGTGCCAGTGTCTGTGAGCAGATGTCACACCAGCCACTTGAAGTGTTCCTTTAGGGAGATGTAGTAGTCACACATCCCCCTAAGGCCAAAGCAGTCCAACTCTAGAACGGGGCTCTGGACAGTCACCTGTCAAGGGCAGCAGCCACAGCTCCACCCAGTAACAAGGACCGGACTCTTCTTTCACACTCCATCCTCAGAGGGTCTTGTTGATTTCCTGGTCTCCCACACCCTCCTAAGAACATGGTGTACTGGACTCTTGGTTTGTGTGTAATGTGAGTTCTAAAATACAGCACGTGACTCAAGTTATCCTACCTACCCCACCTTAGGAGCCAGCCTATTCCTTCAAGAGCAGCTGCCGGGGCCTGTGAATGTCTTAGAGATATTAAATGATGGGTTTGTAGAATACTGGCGCTGGAACAAACCCTATAGGTAGTCTGTTCATATCCCGTCCTGTTGTATGGGAGAAAACTGAAGTCCACAATCAGGCCGAATATTAGAAACGAAAGCTCACTAGCACCCAAGACTCCAAGCTGGTTCTCGACCTGTTTGCTTTAAATCATAGTCCAGAGCCCAAGGTATTTCTCCTCGAAGCATTTCCTGATAGAATACCCTTTGTCCTATCTTGGCATCAGTCTGATTTCTATCCCACTCCACCTCCTTCCAGAGAAATCCCTGGAGCATCCCCACCTTGGGCTTTTCTCCATGAAAACTTGGTGGCACTCCCTACTCCACATCTCTGCTACCCAGTGAGAGTATGAGCCTGTCTTCTCCAGAAAGGTTACTGTCACCTTCTGGGGGATCCGTCTCTAATCCATACCACTTCTACAATGCACTTCCAGTGACAGCGGCTCCTGACTTCACCTGTCACGCAGGAACCAATCAGCTTGCAACTGAAGGTCACCTTAGTGTGGTCATTGACTACTACAGCTGAACTTAAAGATCATGAGTACCCAACTTAGCCCCCCACACACCCTCCATCTCACCTCAGTTAATAGAAGAAGAAAGTGAACCATCCCCAAATGAGGTAAAGTCATGTCACCATGGTCACACTGCTGGGCAATGGCAGGAACACAGAACACAGGTTCCTTGATACCTGGACCTTTGGAGCTTGTGGTGGTCTTAAAGTCAGTTTGATCCAGGGCCTCTGACCCCATGCTCTTCTGTGCTACCTCTTCTGTTGGACTCTTGTATTCTCCTGCCACAGGTGTGCATGTTCTGTGTCTCCATCCGCACCTCCTCTATTCTCCTTGTATCTCCTGACCATACGCCCAACCCCTGTGGGCTTGTCTGCTTCCTTGGCCTGCCTGTCTGAGGCTGCAGAGATGGGCATTGCATGTCCCGCAGGGAGTCTTCCCAAGCTCACCACACACAGAACACATTTTCCCAGCACCCCTTTGTCTGCCCCACTTCCTGTGACAGAGCTCCCCATCTTCCAACAAAGTAACTAACCGGAAAGGTACAGCAGGTATGCTGAGGGCAGCTCCCACCTGCTGACCTCCTGTGTGTCTTGCCAGCAAGCAGAGGGATGTCCTTTGGGCTTTGGACCCATCAGCTGATTCATATCTGGCCCTGCAGGGGTGTGGGGGTATTGAGCATTGCGGACTTTCTCCTGAGTAGTTATTCAGTCTCAGCATAGACCAGGGAAGCTCCTCTGCTTTCACCAAGAAGAAAACTCACCCTTGTCATCCTTTTGTTGTTCAGATTTTTTTTGGGGGGTTGGTACTGGGGATTAAACCCAGGGGCACTCAACAACTCAGCCACATCCCCAGCCCTTTTTTATATTTTATTTAGAGACAGGGTCTCGCTAAATTGCTTAGGACCTCACTAAATTGCTGAGGCTAGCTTTGAACTTGTGATCCTCCTGCTCAGCCTCCCTAGCCGCTGGGAGTACAGGCATGTGCCACCATGCCTAGCTCTGTCCTGGTTTTTATTGGTGCATTATAATTACCAATAATAGTGAGATTTGTTGTTACATACGTGTACATGCAATGCAATATAACAATGTATAAGGGTAAATTTTATCCCCCAGTGCCTCTCCTTTCCCTGCTCCCTCTCCCTGGTCCTCTTCCTCTATTCTTCTGGTCTCCCTTCTATTTCATGAGATACCAACAAAACACATACACACACACACACACATACATACACACACCTTTGTTTGCCTTTATTCTCTCTAGCTTCCACATGAGTAAAAATCTACAAGTCTTGGCTTTCTAAGTTTCACTTATATTGTTTAACCTAATGATCTCAAGTTCTGTCCATTTTCTACAGTGACATAATTTCATTCTTCTGAATAAACTCCACTGTGTATAAATACCACATTTTCCTTATCCATTCATCCCTTGACAGACGCCTAGGTTGGATCCATAATTTGGCTCTAGTGAATTGTGCTGCTATAAACATGGGTACACATACATTGCGATAGCATGCTGACTTTAGCTCTTTAGGATAGGATAGTTCTTCAGTTCTGGGTCATATGGTGTTTCCATTCCTAGTTTTCTAAGAGGAACTTCCATACTGATTTCCATAGGTCATCTGTTTGATGGGAACACTTGGCGCTGAGCTTTCTGGGTGCAACGAAACGCTGGGCATCCTGTACTTGATGCACTGTTGTTATAGAGCAGTGAGCCTCAGAGCTGGGCTTGCACCTTGCAACAGCTGCTGGCCAGCTCGGGCAGGGCACAGCTGCTGGGCTGCTGCTCCTCCATCTCTCCATGGTACATGTGTGTACATGTGTGAATGTACATATGTGTTTGAGCAGAGAGTACCTCTCACGTGGATGTCACAGGGACAGTGAAGATGGAAACCCAGCCAATGGAAACTCTGGAAATACAAAGCATTTAGCTTTTTTTTTCCCCCCCGCAGTGTAGAAAAACCCACTCCTGTCTCATCCTCACCTGTGAAGCAAAGGGCTTCTAGAGTCCCTGCTGGTTCTGACATTCCAGAGGAGGATGACCCTTGCCTCTCCTATACTCACAGCTCCTTCAGTGCCCTGGCCCCTGCTGCCAGTGCATCCAGCAGAGGTTGGATGACATTTTCCATTTCCTGCCTCTGCATTATCTGTCTGGTCTCTTCTGTTGCTGTCTGTCCCAGCTGCTATTGTTCTTCCTTTTCCTGAGCTCTCCAGGGCTAGGACCTCACAGCCTTTCTGAAGGTGGGAGGGGATGCCCTCAAGGTACTTAAGAGGTACTTAAGATCAGGTACTTAAGAGCCGAGACTTTTGGAACATCTTTATGCATTTGTGAACATTCTTAGGTGTGGCTAAGAGAGAGGACTGCCTAATATTAAAGAGCCTTATTGAGGTCATTATATCCAAGGGCTGATGTCAGATACAAAATGCATGTCACTCTCTGAGGTAGAGGACCCCAGGGGGCATCACACCCCTGGAGAGAAGATTGCCAATGGCCAATGATGGATTAGCATTCTAAACTATCTCAAGGGCAAATGTAACCCTTCACTCCTCCTGCCCTGCTTCCTCCCTTCCTTCTTCCTCCTCTTCTCCACACATCTTTGAACCCACTGATGGAAATCTTAAAGTATGATCCAAACTCTGAGGGTGTTTGAATTTTATTAGGGAAACTTGGAAAGGATTTTATCTGAAAGAAGAAAGAGAAAGGAGAAGGGAGGATGGAAGAAAGAAAGGAGGAAAGAAGGGGAGGAGAGGAGGGAGGGAGAGAGGGAATAAGTTTGGGGACCTTCTTTCCTCCTCTGTCATTTTCCCAATGAAGAAGTAAATTCATGAATACTAACAATTGCCTGTGCATTGACGTGTTGATTTTATAATTATGGTCTTGATCCCCTAAAGACCTTGAAGATTACATTACAATGAGGAGCTTGTAGTTGGAAGAGGTTAAGTGACTGGACCAAGGTTCCACAGCAGAAAGAGCAGACAGGACCAGAACTCAGTCCCCTCACCACCCAGTCAGTCCTGTGCTCTAGGCATTTTCCCACACTGCTTCCCAGAAACTGCAGGGGCAGGTCATCAGCCTGGACCTGACATGATATCACCCTGGCTTCATTTCCTGAGGTGGAAGTGAGGATGCCTCTGACCCAGGGCAACCCTGACTGGCCTGTTCCACCCACAGGCATTGATTATCGAGTGAAGACAGTGAATGTGGATGACTCCCAGGTGGCCCTGCAGCTGTGGGACACAGCAGGGCAAGAGAGGTGAGGAGCTGCCTCTGGAGGCTTGGGCTGCTGGGAAGGCTGTGCACCCTGACCCCTGGCCTCCTGTGGCAGGTATCGCTGCATCACCCAGCAGTTCTTCCGGAAGGTGGACGGCGTCATCATCATGTACGATCTCACGGTCAAGCAGTCATTCCTGTCGGTCCGGCAGTGGCTGAGCAGCGTGGAGGTAAGGATGGCCACCTCCTAGGGACCCTCCTACTTGCTATTACTTCTTCTTTCTTCCCTGCCCAATCCCTCCTGGCCCTCTGTGCTTTCACATCCCGATTCAGAATTCACCTGCCCAGGAACAAACCGTGTCAGGCAATTACTCACCTGGTCATCCAGGTTCCCAGGGCCACACTAGTGAGTCAGAAGCCAACAAGGCAGACACAGTTCCCACTCTCAGGGAGAGAGGGGACACACATGAGAAATACTGATTATACCAGTGCTCCAGTTTGAATGTTCCCACCAAAACTCATGGTGAAATTTACCCCTATTGTGAGTCCAGACAACTGTGTACCGAGTACAGGGACTTACTTAATCCACCTGTGGTATTAGAAGTGGGACTGTTGGGTTACAAGAGGCCCTAAGGTTGCTGCCCTAATCCATTGGGACTGTGGCTTTATAAGAAGTAGAGAAGAAACCTGAGCAAGGGTACCTGTCTCACCATGTGTCTCTTGTGGGGCCTTGGGACCTATCAGTGATAAGGACCTCCCAGACATAGGAACTGTGTTCCTTGCATTCTGGATTACCTGATGTTGAGTTTCCCAGCCTTCAGAGCCATAAGCTAGATAAGCTTTATTTTTTACAAATGCCTCAGTCTGTGGTGTTCAGTTATCGCAACACAGACACAGAGTGAGACAGCCAGTAATCACGTCCTTACAATTGCTGAGCGCTAGAGTAAGGGGGATTTTTCTGGTGGAGGGGCACAGAAGAAGGTTCCTCTGAGGAATCAGTGTTTAAGTTGAGTCACAGATGAGTTCTTCCCTTATTCTTTTTTTAATAAAATTTATTTTTTTTATTTGTTCTTTTTAGTTACACATGACAGTATAATGTGTTTTGACATATCATCCATACATGGAGTATAACTTCCATTCTTGTGCTTGTATATGATGTGGATTCACTGGTGGTGTGTTCATATATGAATGTAGGAAAGTTGTGTCTGATTCATTCTAGAGTCTTTCTTCCCTCTTTCACCATCTCTCTCCCACCCCCTAAGTCTTTATGGCTCTACGGGGTCCAGCTACACCCTGTCCAAGAGCCACTCCATTCAGTGTTCAGGGGCCTCTGTCACCACCCTTCCCACAGAGGAGCATGATCAATGGCACAAGGGTTCCAAGCTTCCCCCACAGCCAGAGACCTGCTAGGGCTCTGAAGCCGCTGTGTTCCTTGCATTCTGGATTACCTGCAAGATCTACCTTCTTGATTCATAGTGGCTATATATTGCCTTGTAAGTGCAAAGCACTTCCTGTTCAATGGCAGGTTCTTCCTATAATTCTTTCATGCATGTTCTCAAGGCCAAGGGTGGTGTGGATACACCACTTATCACTTTCACAAATTACTCAGGTAGCATGTACTAATCATTCCAGTAACAGGATCCATCATTTGTTCGTGCATTTGTCAAAACACCACCAGGTTCTTCTCTACGGACCAAGAATTAAAGCAGTAAATAAAAGAGGCAGAGCTCCTGCCCTCATGAGGGTGTGTTCAGCCTCCTGCTCCAAGCTCATGAGGCCTGAGTAGCCCTGTCACATACTTGTCACTGTGGTAAATCCCATGCTCCCCATCTGAATCCCCTGCCAGACCCTGTGCCTCCTGAGAACTGGAGCTGCATGATTGTAACCGGATGCTTGGTGTGGGGCCCCAAGTAATTGGGGGAAGAATGAATGGATATATGTTCTTTTGTCGTAAAGACACGACACTGGACTTACTGATTTCTTCATCCCTTTTTGCACTGAGATCTATTATTTCTCCCATTTATATCTGTTTTTTGTGTGATTTTGAAGGGCTGAGCCACTCTCTTCTGCTATTAATCTGCACCCTTCCCATTACCAAGAAAAAAAAGGAACAGAATGGAAGCCAGATTCAAGGGTTTCTCAGAAATTTTCTTAATACAAACCAGTTCTCAAACAATGACTGTGCATAAAACATAAATGAGGAGCCAGGCATGGTGGCACACACCTATAATCCTAGCAGTTCAGGAGGCTGAAGCAGGAGGATTGAGAGTTCAAAGCCAGCCTCAGCAACTTAGTGAGGGCCTAGGCAACTCAGCAAGACCTGTCTCTAAATAAAATATTTTAAAAAGGGCTGGGGATGTGGCTCAGTTGTAAAGCGCCCCTGGGTTCAATCCCTGGTACTCCCCCCCACCCCACAAAAAAATATAAACACAAATGAGAAAATGTAAGTTCTGAAATATAGTGGATCATCTATACTCCAAGCTAATAATGGCCTATAGAAAATGGATTCCTTTTCCTTCTCCTCTTTCTCTTCATTGTTGTGGGCGGCACCAGGAGAACCATCAGGGGCTACCTAACCCAGCAGTCTTCAGACTTGTGTTCTCAGAGCCCTGGAGTCTGAGACTGATATTCCCTGGAACGTCAATGGTCACAGTTCTGGTCCCCTCATCTCCCTTTCTTTTCTTTTTTTTTTTTAAAGAGAGAATGAGAGAGA